CTACTACTTCTTTAACGAATACTTGAAACAATAATAATCTTAGCCCCAGCTCCAGCGTATGTACCCCTCACACCATGCATAGCCACACAAATGGGGAAAAAAAATATGTGGAAGAAGAAAAGAAAGCAAGAGCCTTTTTCTTTCTCTTTTTTTTTTTTGGCCGACCCAAGAAATTTTTTTTGAAATTTACCCATTCCAAAGTGGAAGAGTTCAAGCCAAAATGACGGGGGCAGAAAAGCAATTCAAAATGCAAAGTTTCCTCTGGTTGCTTGTGAGATCTGATTCTTCTTCTAAACACGGCAGGTAGAATTGGAAAAATTGAATGCCTGATAGTAGTAAAAGGTTAAGCAGTCAAAACAGTAAAACTGCAGCCCCCACCTAAAGAATTGCAGAGAGAAGGTGGTTACCTGACAGGAGAAGGGCTGGTGTTTTTGGATGAAGTTTTGTGGTTTGATCCTCTGGAAATCCCATTGGAAGAAGGTAGTGAAGGTGGAGGCATAGTATTTGCGTTTGAATTTGGGGAAGATGACGAGTGAGGAGGCACCAATCTCCTTTGGAGCTTGGTGGACTGAATAGTTGATGTTGATGAAGATGTGTCATCTGTCAATGCCATGCCTCTAGAGCACCTAGACCGCTTTCTATGCCCCCACTGCAGAAAAGTATTATTATCATTCCCACCACCCCCAACCACTCCATTGCTGTCAAGATTTTGATGATTCCTGCTGTTACTAGCAGTTGGTGGAGAATTAGGAACTTCAGCTTCATCACCGCCAATTGCACTACCATTTCCATTGCCAATATGGTGGTCTTGAGAGGCCTTAGATGGAGATCTAAATCTTGTTAGGCCCTTGCCTTCAAAGTTGGAGCTTGTTTTTGTTGTGATATGGCCATTGCTTTCCGCTCTGTCCTCGTCTTCCTTGCTAGTTTTCCAGCTCGGAGTTGAAGTTGAGTGTGTTCTTCTTCCATTGCTCAATGGTAGACTATCTGGGATGACCCTCTGATACCTGTGATAACCATTTTTAGCTCAGGTTCAAAAGAACAATCTTTGATGGACAAAAAGCAGATCATACATACGAATGCATCACCAGCAACCAAAACTAACATACACAGGAAAACCAAAACAGAAAGAGTGAAGAAACACAAGAATAAGATCTCAGGTAACAAACGAGATTGCCTCAAAACAGATTTACGATTACAGTATGAAAAGTAACCTGCTTTTCAAGATTTTCTTTCCTTCTTTACATTCAGAAATGGTCTATATTCTTACCAACTCAGAGTTCATAACTCAGCACCAGAGCCACAAGGGAAGTGGAAAAGATACCAGAAACAGAATTTCCCTCAAGGAACGGATCATCACATCCAACTCCTTAGCATGGAAAAAAGAATACCATAAAAATATGGCATCTTTGACAATCAACAAAGAATGTTCTTCAAACACAGAGGTACGAGGAGGTAGAGCAGAGGAAGAAGTAGTCTTTCAGAAAAACAGAGGCCTAACCAGTAACCGGTGTAGGGAATATGAAGGGACGCGGACAGCACATCCAGCAAAACAGAAACAAAAACCCAACGATTGAAATTGAAGGAGTAAGAAAACAAAGCAAACTAGGCCTAAAACTCCCAAACCCATATCTAGACCAATTCTTGATGAACTCTAATCAAATTCATCCTTAATTCTGAACCAGAATCCACAGGCTTTCAGGTCACCTACATTTCCATCGAAGAAACATAGTGCTCTGCAGCCGACTAAGATTTATATGCACCGTTCTAAGAGACTCATGTTCTCCAAAACAGAAAAAACCCTTTTCGTTCATGATCTGCTAAACACAATCTCCAAGTGAAAATATAAACCAAAATAAGCAAATCAGGGAATAGTCCCTTTGCAAGAAGCGTTTCAAGGTATTTCTCAACTCAAAGCAAAAAGGGATCTTTGGCATTGTCCAATCAAGAAGCTGCTACTGTGAAGAAGATGATGATTGGTTACACTGATATAGCTCTGCCTCTCATCTCAAATAGAGACAGAGGAAGGAGATAGGAGAGAAAGGACCCATTGATGGATTAATTGGCTAGACAGATTAACAGTAACCGATCTCAAGACTCAAACTTGAAGAAAGAACATCCACAAACAACGGCCAAAACAGATGATTTTCTCACATTCAAGAACACAAAAGGCACAGCTGAGAGAGTTCATTGTAATTCCCATCAAAGCATACACGAAAACAGGGAGAAAGAGAATTGGAATATGGGATTTGTTCCCACCTCATGATCATGTACACACAGACAAGAGAAACCCACAAAACACAATACAATCCAGCTGCTTCAGTTGGTGAAACCGATTGACTTTATTCTGTTTTAGAATCTAGAAAGAATCCAGCATTAGTCCCCAGTACAGAATAGAGTTGGAAGAGGAAGGAAGGATGGTTTTTTTAGTACTTAATTCTCTCCAATGGTGTGTGGTTCACTCCTCTTCATGATATCACAAGAATCGAGAGAAAGAAAGTACAGAGGAAGCCAAGAGAAAGAAGAGTGGGGAAGAGAAGACAAAGAAGCGAGAGAGAAAGAGAGCTGCAGCAGGAGAGGGAGGAAAGGGTACAATATCAAAATATGGGTTGAAAAATATACACTTAAAATACACTTAAGTTGGTTTTAAGTGATTTCTCTATATTACCCTCTTCTACCCTATTTTTTTTTCCTTTTTCCGTTGGATTAAATATGGCAATTGAGGCCAGTACCCGTGAGATCTAATGGAATGAGGCAAAATTGGTGAAAAATTTTCTCCTATTAAAAATGGGTGGGGTTGGGGAGGGGGGGGGGGTGGCATACACCTGCATCCCAGCCTCGTCTCACCATCCATTAAAAAAATTATATATATAATTTAATTAATTATAAATTTATTATTATAAATTTATATTATTTAAAATAGTTACTGTAGCACTTTTTATGATGTGATGTATGTGAGATAAAAAGTAATTGGAAATATAAAAAGGTGAATTGGAAAATGTGTTTATGATGCAAACAAAATATTATTTGGGATAATTTGGCAATCCAAACACACTAATTGGGAATATTATTAGTTTTAAATACTACATAATGTGTATTAGTATATATAATAAAATTAATGTTATCAATTATATTAATAATTATACATATTTACTAATTAAAATATTAATTAGTTATGCTAAATTTACTGATACTTTTATACTAAATTCCTAATCACACTTAATACAATAACATCCTTTTTTTTTCAAAAAAAAAAATCACAACAATGACTTGGTGATTGTATTTGTCTCAAAAGTAAAAACTTGACTATTTTAATTATATTTATCTCGTCGTCATGTTGAATTGTATTCAGATAATTTTATTTTGATTATGAATTTTAATTATGAAATTATAATAGATAATAATTTGACAATGCCTTGATATTTAAATATTTGATTAATGACTAAAATTTAATTATAATATAATTATAGAACAAATTTTTATTAGCTCGCGCAAAGAAGCAGGGCGAGGGGAGCAGGAGGTGGGGGGCGGGTCCCTACCCTCTCCAACCCCGCCCCGTTTTCATATTCCATTCCGCCCTTTGGCCCTTTGCTTATGTTTGTGTGTGTGACATTCAATTCTCTTTTTCTTTTTGTTTTCTTGTTTTATTTTTTTGACTAGGATGTTGCACCTTTATATTTTGAGCATGCACCAGTTCAATTCGTGGTTTGAAGATACACGGTACTAATGAATCACTCCAATTAGATGAGCACACCAAGTTCACTTGTTTTGGAGAATTTTTCTTTTAAATATTCTCCATACACATTTTTTTTTAATCACGTTATTATCTCACATATATCATATCACTACAGTACTATTTATTTATTTATAAAACTCACAAAAAGTTCTAAAAAATGCAACCGAAACAGATTGTTCAAGATATCATATAAAGACTCCTTTCTTGTAGGCGAGCTTTGGCCATTTGGGATTGCTTTTTCTTTCATTCTTTTGTGATTTATTTTCTTTTTGTTCATTTTTCATTTGAGTGCAATCAATGGAGAAAGGAAGATGATGTGTTTTCATTAGGGTAAGGCTCACTTTTATTATTTTGTTTTAAATTTTCTAACCATTTCGCATTTTTTATTTTGATGAATAGGTCAACATGTAAGAATCATATTCATCCAAGAGTATCTTGTCATCAAAATTGCATGAAATGATTTGGATGGAATAAAATGAGTTGAAATTTATGGAAAAAGATAGAACTTAACACAAAACTTGCTTAATTAACTACATTTGATGTATGTTATTTACAAAAAAAAAAAAAAAAAGTAATGACGTATATCCATGGTCCACATAGAAATGTGATTACGATATCCATTGGTCCACTTAGAAATGTTTGCTTGCAACGTAAATTGGAGATAGGATAGATGACACCACTGCCATTGTGAATTAATTATCTCTCCGTTTTCCTTTTCTCGTCATGTCTGACTTAAGTCTCATTATTGTTGATATGTCAAGAAATTTCAACGAAAATCACAATATAAAAGTCCATTTGGATTGGTCTATTTTTGAAAAAAAAAAGATTTTCAAATACAAACAAAAACATCTCATGTATATAATGTATCAAATATTTCAAAAAACATTTATAGTAAAATTTTTTATATACACTGTTACAGTAAAATATTTTTAAAACACCCTAAAAAACAGCTAATCCAAATTTTCATATACACTGCTACAGTAAAGTATTTCTCTCAATTTTAATTTTAGTATTGTGACATATCTGGTTTAATTTGACGCCATTTTATATCTGGGTCTTGCCCCCCCCCCCCCCCCTTTTTTTTTTTTGTGGTATAGTCTTCTGGGGTCTTTCGCGGAAATGAAGAGGATGTTTCTTTCTCAGCCTCAAAGAATTCCTCATGTATCTTCTTTCTTTATAAGAAATCAAAGCAAATATTCATCACTATTGAGATTCAATGGCATGACAAGCTAAGCTAAAGAAAAGCTTTATTACAAGTTAAGTTCTTGGCATTTTATCTGGACATCTTTCCTTGGCAATTTCAGTTAGCCGGAATCTCTCTTCCTCAGCCTCAATTTGGCTCTCCCTTATACTCCTCTCATATTCTAACCAAAATAGTGAAGACATTGCAGTTTTTAGTCCAAGATATCAGATATTTTTAACCACCTAAAACCTCTTCTTCTCGAACTTCCTCTTCTTTTTTGTCAGTATCACAATTATAATTTTCAATTAATTTTTTATTTTTCTAAAACCTTTTTATCTCACATATGTCACGTCGTGAAAAGTGTCATAATAATTATTGCAAATAATCTCCTATCCAAACACACTCATTTTCGGCTTAATATCGGCCGAATTCCCGCCTTTGAAGCTGAACCTCCCTGAGTTGTAACACCATATAAATTCGGCTTTAAAGGCTTTCAATCTTTGCCCTTATATGTAATGCAGCCAATGTATTGCTACTGCATCTGAAAGGTTTGTAGTATGAGGTTGAGGCCGATTTCCTATCGAAATTCACTCCTTCCTCACTTTCGTATCTGTTGACCATTTTCTGTCGTTAGAGGCCCAACTTCTTTCCTTAACCATCCTCAGCACTGTTATGGTAGTATGCATTTTCTTGCCGTCAAGAATTCTAGACCTAATAAAATAGGAAAGTCAAGGCCAACCAAAAGAAAGATTAAGACATCAGCCTGATTGACTAGCTTGCCGGAGAAAAGTCTTCTTGCTGTCGATTTAAACACTCTTTCAAGCGAAGTATTTGGTTTTATATTATTGTCGTGGCCTATCAAGCAATAAAGGAAAGCTGAATCTTTCTCTAGCCAATGCATTTTTCAGCACAACTTGGAAAGGAACTGCTGAAGATAGTGCAAGCACAGATGCCATCCCTCAGGACAGTGGTTGAACTTAAAAAAGGGTGACTTGAGGAGTTACCTAAAGAAAAACCGCAGCAGCATCCAGGGAGCACAGCCATAACTTTATTCAGTTGAGGAAATTGCACCTGAAATGAGCTTTCTACCTGTTTAAATTGGCTTGGAAAGTCATTAATCGCTGCACTCTTCCATGGTGAAGCTAATTGTGGACTTCCAATCTCATCAAACTGTAGTTCTTATGGGTGAAACGAAAGCAGAAGTAAGAATTATTGACATAGCACAAAAAAAAATTAACCTTTTGCACCATTTTTAGCTTAAAGACATATGGAATATTTTCCTGTTAAAGAGCAACAAAAGCACAAGGTGTAATATTGAGAAAGCTCCTTGAGTGTGCAATTCAATAGGAAAGCTCGGATTGAATTGAAGCCTGTGGCATTTATCAGATTACAAATATCTCAGACAGCAGACGTGGCATATGAAATTGAGGGAGCTACAAATCAACGTATATAGCTTTAGTATACAACCAGAGCTAATGCTAGAGTCATCCAGTTTCCAAGACAAAGCAGAATATGATGGAAAGATTAGTCAAAACTTTACAAGGCTTCATACACAGAATCTAAATACTTGGTAGCATCTAAATCTAATCCAGTCATGGATTTGAGAAAAGAGCATTAAAAGTATGTAGAGAAAAGGAAGGCCAAGGAAGACCATGTAGAAAGCTGAAAGAAAAACCCCAAGAGAGCAAGGTCAGCTTCATTCAGAACAAACTGTAGCTTGATGATCTAACAGCCTAACAGAATGTATCTGCGACAACAAAGACACCCAGAAGCCACAAGTGTGCACTTGCTCATAAACACAAGGCATGAAATTTATCTTGCTATATTAACTAACCAATTGCTTTACCTTTCCTCTCTTTTTTTTCCTTTTTCCGAATATTTGCAGTACCTCACTGTTGAGTCAATAAAAATTTAAAGGAAATTATGTATAATACTATTTTTCTTCTATCAAACTTCACTTTAAAACATCAAAACTGGCTGAGTTATTCCGGTAGTTGAAATATTTGTCTTTTTCATTTACATTAAAGTACTATTAGGTTTTTTATTATATGACTTCAAACAAAAGTGTCATGCGAATTACAGCAAGAGAAGTATAGTTATAAGATTATGAATTTATTCTAGAACTAAAAGAAAATAAGATTCACTAGATTTCTAAGGGCCTAGAATTGAACAAAGAGTATACCACCTATAAATAGATTGGCCATAAGAAACAGAAGATGCTGAGCCTTTTAAGATGCTTGGCTGGGATCCTAGGGACACATATCTAGTCACTCTACCATGTCAATGAAGAAAATTCTTAGCCTTTTTTGCCAATACAGAACTCAAAGAATGCACGTTGTGCTTCTAGTCTACAAAAGATGGATGTCATAGAGGTATTTCCTACTTTTCCTGTGACACATTTATATCCACAGCTTTCTGAAAATGAACGACAAATATCCTGTTGAGGTATCATGACAGACTGGCTTTAGCAAGTTGAATGCAATATGAACAATGACCATGAGAAGCTACTTTGCATCAATTGCAGTTCCCTTTCAAGACACTGTAGAAGATGCAGAGCAAAGACATCTTTAAACCATATTAAGTGGCAAAGGTAATGAAGGGAAAAGAAAAAGAAACAAGTATGGAAACACAGGAATAACAACAACTAAAAATCCTAATTAGAAGGGCAAAAGAAGAAATTCCATCAGCTAACTAGAAGGTTGACTAAATTGAATATCTGGATAAATTCAACTGAGATGGTCAAGGCTCAGAATATCATACTTTCAACAGAGTGCATACAGATCAAAATGAGCCGTCAGATAGAAGCAACAAAAATGAAATAGACAACAAAAGTTACCCTAATTCATTTATCCAGTTCAAACAATTGTGATATTATTTGCTCATCCAGTTTGAACCCCACCAACTCTGCTTCCCTGCAGACCTCCTTACACTTGGCTATTCTACCAGAAGACAAATAGATTTGAATCATGCAGTGGTACACATCAAAAGTTGGAGAAAAACCTGCCTCTTTAAGTTTTGCGAAATAGCGTACAGCCCTAGGGAGATCATCCAAAGCAACAAAAAGCCTTATTACTACTCTATAAGCAGGAAGATCAAAGAGGCAGTTTGTAGTTTCCATCTCCCAAACAACATCCAATGCCTCTCTATATCTCTTCTCAGAATAGCGACTATGAGTGACTGTAGTATACATGACTACACTTGGAACACGACCAGACATCTTGAACCAATCATAAAGCCCCTCCACAATGTGGAACTTCCCAAGCCTTACACAAACTTTCATGATTGCAGTACAGTCTTGTGGAGTCAAATTCAGATCCTCTCTTGCAGCAAGCTCTTCAAGTAAGCTTAAGACTAATACTTCTTTATCCGGATTCTTCCCTAGCTCCAAAATTAACTTAGCATATACTCCTGAGTCCAACATTCTTTTACTATCTCTAGCAGCTGAGAGAAGCTTCCACGCGATATTCAAACTTCCACCTTTAATAAAGCCCTTTACCATCGCTTCATATACATTCCGGCTGACCATGCTGATAAATTTAACGTCATCAAATTTGAAAGGCATTTTCAACTCATGTGATCTAGCCAAGACCTCAACAGTGGAAGCAAGAATCCTGTCATCTGGATACAAATGTGGCTGTTTCTGAGTCCAACAAAACACAAGTAAAGCTTTTTCAGGACAACTCATATGGCCTAGCTCACGAACTGTTATGGACAAGGACCCTTTACGAAGAAACCGAGCCCACTTATTTAGAACCAGCGACACATTTTTCTCCTTGGGAGGGAGGTCTTTAATCTCCTTAGCTAAACCAACCAAAAAAGTTGGATTCCTGTACAACTGATTCGACACTGACTGCCTAGATATAGCAACTGATTTTCTTGAAAATTTCTTCTGGTTTGGAAGGCCTAAAGCTCTGTTCTTGCAGGGAAGTGGCAGCGGTAAAGGCCTTTGTCTATTCAAATTTCCAGGCTTCTGAGGTATCCTCCCCCGGAAAAGTGAGGAGATTGCCTCAATCTCATCTTGGTCCCACATAATTTCACCATTTTCATCATGACTAACGTAACTTCCTTCTTCCTTCTCTTCATCATCAACTACAAGATCATCAAAGTTGTCATCATCTGTAAAGATGTCATTGGTAGAAGAGCCAGGCATATTCCTCTGGGCAACCGTGTCAAGACCGAGAAGGCTGGGGTCTGGGGGGAGCTTAGGTCGGCGTGGATTATGCAGGTTCTTGGGAAGTTTCCTGTAATACAGTTTGGTATTCCTACTAGCACAAGAGTGTGCCATTAAATTCATGTTTCTTCCAGTATTATAACTGCTTGGGATGAACAGACTTGAACTAGCTCCATATAGAATTCTGCTACTTGTTATTGTAGCTTCAGAGAGTGGGTATGGACCCAGTGAGCCAAGAAAGCTCCTCTGCTCCATAAGTGCCATAATAATTAAATTCAGAATCTTCTGTTAAACATTTCGTCGAACAGCTTATGGGTCCGAGTATAGTTGTTAAAGATTGAGCGAGAATGTGGCAGGATTGTCAGAATATTCCCAGTTTACCGCTGCTCCTCCTTTGTGTAGACAGTGATGTTGACCGCATTGCGTAAATAGAACTAATTCATGTATTCAGACACAAAGTAAACCAAAAAAGAGAAAGGAAGTGACCCCCAATTAAATAGGGGCCTTCTTCTTTAAAAGCAAAAAAAAGAAGCCACAAATGGGTTCCGGACCTTCCGGTGGGGTCAGATTCGGACCGGAAATATCAGCCATTTTGGATTTTGAAAATTTTTTTTCTTAAACCCTCACTTGTTATCAAAGGTCGTGGTTCAATAGCTACCATTCGGGCAACAACGATTTGAATTTCTAAAGAAAATTTTTTATGTTTGTCTTTGATCACATTTTCGAATTATCTTTTTACTTAATATACATTAAATTATTATAATATATTTTTTTACAAGAAATTCAAAAAATAATAATTCAAACAAGATCTATATAAAATAAAAGTCTGTCTAACAGGCATTTATTAGACACTCATCCAAATACTCTCTTTTTTTTTTGTCGCAACACTCATTCTAAATACGCTCATTCAGATATAAATAGACACTCGTTAAAATACATTTCAAGTATTATATTTTTAAAAATTTAAGATTAACTAAAAAACATAAATAAATATAAAAAAGGGTAGATAAAATTAAATAAAAAATATATAAATACAAAGAGAGATAATAATTATTAATATCTGCATATATATATATATATATATAATAGGTGAAGTGAATTTTAAATGTTTTAACGAATGTTCAATGGACTCCTTTAGAAAAACCCGTAAAAAAAAAAATCGTTTGTGTACATTTATAGTTGCTTGGAATACCAGATTAAACTGCATCAAGTTAGAAATTGACTGCCCACTCCAATCGGTGAGCTTATAAATCATAATCGTGAATATAGTATTGATTCCCAAACTAACACTCTCAATCATGTGGATGATGATCTGTAGCCACGCAACCATGAAATCACTAGGCAATCCTTCAATAGTCAAGGGGAAGAGTTTTGAGCTTAATCAGCTTACGTGCAAGAGTACCTTTGCGAGATATACACCACCCAAATCACTAGCCTACCCTTTAATAGACAACTCACCAAGACGGGTGAACTACACCATCCAAATTCTAAACTTGTAAAGTATGGACATAATTGCAATTCGAGATCTTAATAGTTCTCTGGCCGTGCAATGCCGGATGGATGACTGATAATGGTAACTCACGCTCAATTCCTCCAGTAAATCTCTGCAGCAAGAGTCTTCTTCATTGGAGGAAAGCATAATCCTTTGTATCCACATAAACCATCTTATCATTACATCTTTTTTTCAGTTCTCCGGGTATGCTTGGGCTTATAGGCTATAGCGACCCTTCTGTAGACCAAAAAAATGATTTTTTGCGTCAAAGTGCAACAGCAGATAATTGTCATTGAAATGGACAAAAGAAAATATTTCCAATAATTAGACCTTCAAATAACAGTTAGGCATTTTCATGAGTTGTCAATACAACTTTTACTGGTTCCTATTACTAACCTCGGCTCCATCACCAACGTTCCCCCGAATAAAGTGCATGTAAAAAAATTACAATGTTATCTCATTTCTCAATGGAATCTATAATAGCAAAAACCTGACAGACGTGCAGCTGCAAATCAGGACAGAAGAAGCTTTACAAGAGCTTATAATAAGACCACAAGCCACACTAGTCTATCATAATCCAGTTTGCTCTCTTGCACAAGGATCAAAGGTTCAAGTACATTAGGCTGAAATTTAGAATCCTCGATCCCTTATTTTACTCAAATGCAGAGTAAAATGCATATAAGATATCAGGGGAAGGATCAACAGGCACTCAATCTAAAAAGAACATAAAGAACATAATGGTACAGCAACAATGAAGTCCGTGTATCTTCCTTGAACCATACATAATTTTCAAACACAGCAGGAAATGCATTGACGGCAGAAACAAAGCTAAAATCCAGGCATTTCACAGATATTGCAGACTAATGCAAAAAGTTAGCATGCTTTGCCAATATTGTCACCCAGTAAAGAAACAATAAGCAGAAGAACATTTTCTTACAATGCAGAAGAAACAAATTTCAAAACAAACCAGCAGCAGATGGAGGAGAATTCAACACCTGCATACATGATGGAATCTTGCTTCCAGATTTGTCTAGCGAAAAAGCCTGGGAACTGATCTTCTTGGAACCTTGCCTTCAAGTTTCAGTCTTCTAAATGCTTCCCTGATGTGGCAAGGCCTAATTGGCCCTCTCTCTTTTCTCTCTGTCATTACTATTCTGGCTGCAAGTTGTAGGCATCATAGTATCACGTTAAAGAAATTCTAGCACTTTCCACCGCTATACTTTTTGAAAAATCCACAATAGAAAAGAATTATATCTTTTCCCTGTGGCTTCCAACTGTCAAGAGACAAAAATTGCAAACTGACAAATGAATTTAAGACTCAGCTCGTAAATTGCCCATGTACCTGTTTCAACAAGCTCCCCAACAAACATTTTTGCTATACCAGATACTACAATTGTCATAGGAACAGAAATTTTTGAACTTCCAGTGATGCTCGTTAGCAACTGCAATGACAAAATGACAATATAAACGAACAACAGTACAAAACAATGTTATGATGCAAAAAGGATGTAGAGGAATAAATATGCCAGTGATCGTTTCATAATGCCCAAGAAATAAGACATGTAAGCTACATAAACAGGTATGTGGCCAGCGTAGTCTCAGGTGTGCATGTCACCAACAGGTTCTGCCAGCTAATTTTCCCTCGTATTTTCTGTATGTTATCGACTGAAAGTTTGAATAAATCACTTCTCAAACTAGTTGGAGGGAATATTTGAAATATGACCACTAGGCTAACATTTCACATGCCCAGATAAATTTAGAATAAGAAACTATGAGACCACAGAAAGATCAGTACAAGTTAAAAAACAGTAAGAGAGAACAATCCTTTGCAGAAGATAACGATGAAAAAACAAAATGAAAGACCAACGATAATTCAGATACTGTGTACAGCAGGATGTATTGATGTGGGGAGAGGGGAAAAAGGGCTTTCTAGTTGTTATAGCGTACCCGCTTCATGTTGGCTTTCTGAAATCCTGATCTTCGAAATGATTCATATCTATTCATTTGCCCATCAGTGAACTGTGATAAGATGGTCCTATAAACACAGGATGCGTTAAAATGGAGAAAAAGAAATAGAAAAAAAATTACAGAAAAATCATAAACACTCTTTCTCTTAGAGCTAATACAAATAATTGAATGCTGTTCACATTTCAAAGAAATCTATTCTGCGTTTTGTTGCTTTCCCAGAATCAAAACACATTGCAATCATTTCCTAAGAGTATATATCAAAAACATTTCTGTTACTCGGTTGACGAAGAACACAAGAATAACAACTTGAGCCAATTTACTTTCTCAAATCAATGAAATGGCGGGTACATAATATGCACTTTTATTTTTTTTTTTGGTTTTCTTGGGAGGTACCTTTTTTTTTTTTTTTGAGTTTCAGATTGCAGGATGAAACATAATTACCAACTTTAAGTATAAAATATTTTTAAAACTTGAAGACTGAAATAGTTACATCTCCTCAGCAGCACTATTTATACATCAAAGTCCCAAATGGCATATTGCAAATAACAAGCCATCATCAGCCAGGTGTTGAGAGCTACAATTCCTTGGAAGGAATTTAATTATAAAAGGGATTTTATCAAGCACAGACTAAACATTAAACAACTAAAAATGACTTCTTTGTCCTTACTAGGTAACATGTGATTGCTGAGAATACATGAAATGGTAATTCACATTAAACTTTCCTTTGGTTTAACTCAAATTTCTGTCATTCTCCCATCTTTTTTCCCCCTTTTTAGTAGATATATATATTTTACCTATCCTGCAACAGGAGTGACCTTATGGCCTAAAAAATAGATTCTATAACTTTGAAGAGTAACAGGCAATATTATGAACAAAAAGAGAAACGGTAAATTCGTCGCCTTTCCTTACCAGAACTCACGCTCCAATCATGTTATCACCCTATCTTCTTTTCCATTTCCCATAAGTAGTTGGTGTCTTTTTTTTCCCCCTTTTTTCTCAAACATCACACAATTTTCTTTTCTAAACCACGTTATTGTTTCCTAAAATCATGATGCAAATACAATGTTCTTGAAATGAAATGAGTAAAAGTCGTGTATGTGATGTAAATGCACTTCAATCATCTGGCAAATGCCATAGACTATAACAATACATGGAAAGATATTTTGGTGCAATAATTTTCTTAGCATTAGGAATAAATTTAAGGGAAACAAACATATTAACGAGAATCCAACATAAGACTTACTGCATTTTGGCCATTTTATCAGGGTCACCACTGGGAGGGAACTTGCCAAGCTCAATTTCCATGTTGTCTTCATCTTCCTCCTCATCTTCTTCTTTGGACTTGACAATTGGACCAGCAGCTCCAATTGAAATCGCCGCACCAGTGGTGGTTGAAGGCAATGAAGGTGGAACGCTTGTACCAACGTCATCTCCTTGACCACTAGCTGCTGCTGCTGCTGGGGTTTGTGTTTCATTCTCATCAGCGGCAATAGGTGATTCAGGTGGTGATTCTTCTTGCTCCTCGAATGCAACTTCAAAGGGATCCTTTGATTGCTTCATTGTCTGCATTTGTTACTTCTGCTCGATGTTTCAAAAAACATGTTTATCAATTTCTAGGATAAAGAATCCTTCTTCCCAAATAAACCCCAAAAATCATTTTTTTTTAAAAAACCCTAGCTCCGGAGAATCTCAGAGAATAAATTCCATAAATGTTCATGATTTGTGCAGGAAAAGAAAATTTAAAGTAGTGAACCGCGAAAAGGAAATTTATTTGGTCTTACTATGACGTCGCCGTCGGAAAGGTGGTTGTGGTGGCGTACCTGCTGCAGCCGCCGGCGATTGTGAATTGCACGGAGATCTAGTAGGGCTTTTAAGGGCGAGAGAGCAGGATTGGGAACGGGTAATGGAACGATGAAATTTTATAGGATGGGCTTTCCTGTCAATCTTTCCTCTTAATTGTATTATTTTTGAAATTCCAACTACAAGCTGAGACAGCACTTGAAGGCGTGCGATATGATGCCAGTTGAAGTTGCGTCTTT